GGGGGGGCTTATTCGATACTTGAGCGTAGGTATGTACTGCCCCGATATGATTTGATCTCTTTGTTTATTGATGGTTATTGTGTTTCGGTAATATCGTCGTCTGTCTCTTCCTCTATAAGAGTGTAGGTATTTTGAATCGAGACCTATTTGTTGTTAGCGTATATTTTAATCTTGTGTGTTTGCGTGCACCCAGTGGAAACATTGATGTTTTATTGACTGATCTTTGCCGTATCTTTTTTCAAACTCTGCAGTGTCCTCACTGCCCGTATGCCAGCCCAGATACATACAAGCTCAAAAGGCATCTGCGCATCCATACAGGTAAGTTGGAATATTGGTTTTGTTATTGGTCAAACAGTGTCAGGCGTTGATTAAATCTTTAAACCCTCCGGTGCTAGGGACAACTGTTTCATTTTATTTAGAGCTAGTTTTTGCTTGTTTTTCAGAACTATTCCCAAACCAAATTTTTTAGTAATGACTTTTGGGGTTATAACGAGAAATAGTGCACCAGGTTTAGGTGGCTGTAGACAAAACTCCAGGAAATGGTGGGAAAAACTCAGGGTTTAAAGAGCATTGCAGTCAGGTCAAAAGCTTCGCAGCTGAAAGCTGTTCCTGGCAGGGTTTCAATGGTTAGACCATGCTCACATGTTTTTACTGATTAAAACTTATTCTTTTTTATATCATGGAAACCTTTATATTGTGTGGGGAATGATTCCCGTTTCTTTAATATGTCAGTTAGTGTGTGAGTTAAGTTCATATACTTGGAATTGGTAATGATATTGGTTGTTTCACAAGCATAATGCAGTCAGCCACTGATGGTAAAAGAGAGTTTGGTAGGTTTCTGTGTAAGCTGTATAACTATCAATCATGTACACTTTTGGGTAGGGATTGGGGGAGGATTCATTACTTTTGTATTCTTGTTGGGTATGGGGTGGGGGGAGGATTCATTAATTTTGTGTTCTTGTTGGGCTTAGAGGTATAATTCTGTCGGACTTTAACCTTCATTAAAAAGATAGCATTTTTATAGCGCAAATCTCCGCTCAACAGCAAGCTCTATGCGCTTCACAATGTATACTATTACTCCAGCAGACCTGAGAGCATTCTGAAACAACCTCAACTTCCTGTGAAGCATACACTGCAAGCAGCCATTTATAGGCACTAAGACACTAGCATACCAACAAGATCTTTCGCTGTCTATGTTATGCCATTATGACTTCTAGTTTGTGTGTTCCCCGTTTTAGGTGAGAAGCCTTACGAGTGCGACGTCTGCCATTCCCGGTTTACGCAGAGCAACAGCCTGAAGGCTCACAAGCTGATCCACACGGGGAACAAGCCGGTGTTCCAGTGCAACCTGTGTCCCACCACTTGTGGACGCAAGACCGACCTCAAGATACACTTCAACAAACTGCACACGGTCGGCTCACCGCTGGAGTGCAAGAAGTGTGGGAAGGTCTTTTCTGACAGGTAGACAGAGACTCTCACTTTGTCCTTGTGGAAGATTGGTTTGCCAAAAGTGTTTAACTCATCTCCGAGGGGGGTAAACCCATTACGCCAGGACCCTTTTTTGATACTAAATCTAACAAGGACGAAAACATCGCTAAATGGGTCATTAAATCGAAACTAGCAAACCTATTTTGATAGTACTTCATCTAATGAATGAACTTCAGGTAAAAGAGACCTGTTTTCAGCAATTGCCAAAAAGTAGTTTGATATCGAAGTCGCTGTAAAGGAATGTGCCCGAGCCGCTGGCTGCTGGCCGCTGTCAGCGGCTTGAGGGAGATAAAGAGTTAAGTTTTTTATATCTGCACATAATGTCACTTTTTTTGTCACTAGTTGGGTCAGAAAGTCACTAACTTATAAAAATGAGTTCCATCTATTTTCTAAATTTAACTACAGAAATGCAAGAGTGATGATGAACGAGCAGACTGGTATGAAACTGGGATTTTGAGAATGAATGACATTGTTCTTTCACTTTCAGGACTCAGATTCTGTTAGTTAATTAGGCTGGTAATTGCTTTCTGCACACCATTCAGATACTCCAGCGACATGTGAAAGTAATAGTAATAATAATAATTGTATTAAATGGCACACATCCATGCTCAATGCTTTTTACAACTATTATTACCCCGGCAGACTGCAGAATTCTTAGAAACTTTCTCAGCTTGCCAGGAAGCATTGTGCGTAAGCAGATGATTAAGGGCTCAAAAGACAAAAAAAAATTTGAATATTCCACTGAACTGATACATTTTGCTTTACATCACAGTTGGATTCAAGGATAAATGATGTTGAATATGTTCTTTCTCACAATGATTATGTTCATTCTCACTTGTGATTTTAGTTGTAAATTGGGCTTGCCCTTTACTTACTTTCTTTGTCCGTTTCATCAGATATTCCTACAAGCAGCATGTCCGCTCCCACGATGGTGACCGCTGCTTCAAGTGTGAAGACTGTGACTTCATCGCAAACACTGAACGGGCCCTGGACCAGCATGCAGCCATCCACTCAGGGGGTAAGAGGTTCGAGTGTAACGTGTGCCACGCCAGCTTCAACCTGCGGCAGATGTTGGAGAAACACAAGCAGTGGTGTACTTTAGATCTGGAGTCACTGGAGGATTCCTCATCCACGTCTACGGCTAAAAGGAAAGACGTAAGTGTTCGTGGGTGAAAACTTTTTTCACAGACTTCGGGTTTGTAGGAGAGATTTTTTAGGTTGTTTATGAGATATTTTTGAGCAGCCTACTCGGGGAACCTAAACAAGTGGGTAACAGGGAAAGATTAGGGAAACGTAACTTTTTTAAGAGCATCCGAGTAAAGGAATGAATGGAGAACCATGATCGCCGATGTCTGTCGCAGATCTGGCACTGGATGATGATGATGATGATGATTATGAGATAGTACAGGGCTGCCCACCGTTAGAATTTTGGTTGCATTGTTACAATTTTTTTTTTCAATTCCCAACCCATCTCCCTTCCTCTCAGAGTATAAGGAAGAAACACAATCCGACCTCAACTCTCTACATCATTTCATCACATGCAGCTGTCTTAACTGCAGCTGTCTAACTTCTAACAACCCACCGGGGTGGTGCCACAGACTGAAGTGTCTTTAGGCCATTCCCAAGAGGGGACATTTCTCGTTCAAGCACAGTAGAATTGTAAATGGGCTGATTCATCAATGGCATGCTCATAACTGTGCCTGGATTGCTACAGGGAACTGCTGCTTTTTCTTTCCTAATCCTTACTATTGTCATTTTTTGCTCTATTTCTTTTGTATGTTTGTCACACTCTTGTGAACTGCTATTTCCTGGGTGCCTTGATAGTCGAAGCAGACTTTGTGCTGTTGAGTCTAGAGAGGTGAGCAGAGTAAGCCCGATTCCCCTTAAAGACTTCTCTGCTGACATCCACACCTTGGCACTCATATGACCTTATGCGGTTGCGAGCACCGTAAAATCTCTACTATAAAAAAAACAACCCAATAACTTGTAACTCCTTCTGTTCACACAGCCTTTGTTGTCACTCAGTGCCCTTTTGTCCTTAGAAAAAAACATTTTTTGCACCAGAGCCAGGAGTAAGGCAAACGTTTATTTTACAAGTTGTTAAAGAATTCCTGCTTTTGTGCAGTGGGTGAAAGCCCAGGCTAGTGAGAGAATTTTTTAAAAAAATCGGATCATTGTTTGAAACTATTAGCTGCGATGTGCGTTATGGTGTGTGTTGACATCCACCCCTTGGCGTTCATATGACCTTATGCAGTTGCGAGCACCGTAAAAACTCTACTAAAACTAAAGCATGTCAGTAAAATGGTGTTTACTTCTCTTTAGTATTTTATGGTGTCTGTCTAACTACATGTTATGTGTATAAAGGGCTTTTTAACTCTTTATCTCCGTGGGGGAGGGGTAAACCAACTATGTCGGGCCCATTTTTGGTACTAAATCTAAAAATGACAAAAACTTAACTACATTGGTCATCAAATCAAAACAAGTGAACCTATTTCGATAGTTCTTCATCTAATGAATGAAATCCAGATTAAAGTGACCTGTGTTCAGCAATTGCTGAAAAGTAATTTGATGTCGAAGTCGTCGTAAAGGAATGTGCCCGAGCCGCTTGCGGCTCACCGGCACAGCTGTTCCGACCGCAAGCCGCTGTGAATGGCTTGCCGGAGATAAAGAGTTAAGGTCAAAGAGAATTTAACAGATAATTTTCCAATGTTTTCTTGGATATTACTTTCAGACGGAGGAAGAGGCAAGCAGTGGCCAGTCTGTCTTGTACAAGAGTCCTCTGGGCCGACCACCTGGCCCTAGCAGCAACAAGGAAGGGCCGCGGGGTGAGGACAGCAATAGCAACAGTGCGGCAGAGTCATCATCGTCATCATCAGGGCAGCCGCAGGGTCCCCCCTCGGCCAGCGACACTCTCCATCGTAACCTGCTGCAGGACATACGATCAGGAAAACTGGGTGATGTGCCGCAAGTGGTCATCGTGCACCCAGACGGGTCGTTGGAAGAAATCTCATCAAAACTGCCGGTGAGTTGTTATTCTGTTGTTGTTAACGATCCAGTAGCATCTGAGCGTTAACTCTTCTGCATGATGCCATTTGGTAAAAGCTGCATGTTTGTTCTAATTGTTGTCTTGAGGAGTAGAGGCAATTAGATGTGTGGGGTAGCTTGGGAAGAAAACATCCCCTCAGATCGGTTAGTTTTCTACAGAAGAACAGATGATGTTCCACTGTCTCTGAGGGGTAGTCACATAGTGGGCAGGTAGTAGACTGTTTTACTCCAATTCGGTTGAGATGTTGATTGAGGGGTACATGCCGGTGAGTTCAAAATAAAAATTGAGCTCGTTTGAACTCTGTCAAGGCTCCGAATCTGACTGTGAGAGAGTTCAAAATAATTGAGTACATGTAGTTTTAGAATTTACAGGGGGCTCATTCTGTAAGTGAGTAAAAAAATTGCAAATTCTTGTTATGGCATGCTGCTTGAGTATCTATGTTGTTTTGCTTTTGCTTCATTTCCACTTGTGTTATTGAATACGACAATGGCATTCATCTTTTTCCCATTTTATTATAATGTGATCTTAATCAACTTAGTTCTTATGTTATTCCCAAACTCCTCTTTTTAAAAAAATTGTAAATTGTGTAATAATTTGGAGTGAAGGTACCGAATAACACAAGTTTCTTTTCTGTCATTGTATTTGCAATACCGTTGCTAGAATTATGTGCACTTCTTTTTTTTTGACCCCTCAAGATAGCTTAGGACCAATGAAGGTCCTGCCGTTTTGGTTGAAAAATAGTCAATGGCTTTTGTCATAATCTGTTTGAACATTTTTGTTGTCAGGGGGCCAAGCTGAACCTGGATGACATTCTGTCCACTCTTTCCAGTGCAGAGAGAACGGACCAAAGTCCAGGGTGAGTACCCTAGAGGCTGCTGTGAGAGTTGTCTTGTCTTTTCTGAAGCTTCTAGAACAAAATATGTGAGGTAACATGGTGAAATCAGGCCCTCTCCACAATAATGAAATTGAAGAAACTAGACAATTTTTATCAAACTTTTGTTTTTTGGCTCAACATTTTTAGTTCCCATTTAAAATATTTTTCTGTGTAGTTTTACTAAAAATCTTTGATTAAAGCACAAAAAGTATGAGCTGTGAAAACACGTGATGTATGAACTTTGTTTTCTAACACTCCCTTGTTTCTGTCCACAGCCAAAGTCTGCCTGCCCCTAGTGTCCCAGAGGCAGAGGCAGACCCGGGGGCCGAGAACGGAGCGGTAAATCTCCTCTCAGATGACGCAGACAGCGACAAGGAAGAAGACTTAAGCTCTGAGGCAGGGGACAATGGAGAATCATCACAAGTAAGCTTTTCTTGTTTTTCTTCTGAGATCTTTGAGAGATGGAGGCATGTTGCATAGATTGTCAGGAGGAGGAGGAGGGGGGGGGGGGGGGCAGAAAAAGAATGGAATAGCTTTCTAAAAACTCTTTCCTGGTGTATTTTTTCTTAATGTTATTTTTCTTCTGCCTGTGGATCTGCTCTGTGTGGAGACGGAGTTAAGTACAATGCCTTTTAACCCTATCCGTATGTCGTGTTTTACTATCGTATCCTTACGACGTGGGGAACTCTATGCTACCACTTTCAAAGAGGAAATTTACTCGTTAATTTGTTCTGTACATTTTGCATAGCAGTCTGTCAAAATGATTTTTGAGAAATACTGAAAGTTTCAGAGAGCTCTTCATACTAGAAGTATTCTAAAATGTGGAGAATACAACCCCAGGGGTACAAAATGATCCCAGAGCGTATGGATAGGGTTTAAGACACAGGAGATTGTTTGAAAAGAATTGTATGCTCTCCTACAAGCTATAAGACACCTGGCTGAGAAGTATTCTAAGTTCGGTGAGACTAGAAGTCAGGACATACTTTTCTCTTACAAACACAGGATAATGGTCAGACAGGTTTAACCCAATCCGTACGTCGTGTTTTACAATAGTATCTATATGACGTGTGGAACTCTGTACCACCACTTTCCAAAGAGGCATAGCAGTCTGTCAAAATGATTTTGGAGAAATACTGAGAGTTTCAAAGAGATCTTCATACTAAAAGTTTTCTAAAATGTGAAGAATACAACCCCGGGGGTACAAAATGACCCCACGGCGTATGGATAGGGTTTAGGATAAGGGTCAGACAGGTTGAAAGAGTAAGATCTATCACTGGATTTGTTGTGTCTCCCAGTGTGAAGCTGGCACGCAGGCAGAGCTGGAGTCTGATACAGACTCCGTGGAGGACGAGGCCAGCATGGACTCTGTACCTGACAAGGCTGGGGAGAACCACACGGTGAGTCTCTTGTTTGCCTATGACAGCCCAAGGGTTTTTATTTGTAATGCACTGGAACTTCACAGTGACTGTAAAGATGGTTCCAGTAAGGAACGGGATAGACGGTGCCCACGTCCCTCTTGACTCATTGGAGCCGAGGAAGATAGGACTAACGCTAACATTACTTAAACGCAATCCCACATAATCACTCATCACCACCATTTAATCTAAAATCATCAGCGCTCTCAGATCAATGACTTAAATCTATGATCCTGGAATCTCTATCTGCTGTTAGTCACTTGTCAAACTAAGTATGCACGTAATACCACGTAATATCCTACGCCCTTTTTTCTACTAATCAGATGGCGTCAATCTCGTATAAATGGGCACGGGATTAAAAAAAATAAATTAGTAATGCACTGCATAAGGAGGCTACTCTTTTTTTTTCTGGGATATTCGAAATGAATTTTGTCAGGTGACCTGAGTTCCCCTGATGTTTTCGTAGAAATATCTCGTTGACTATTCAAAGCATTTTGTGATTGTGCTTTTAATTCTTTGTATTTTTTTTTTCTTCAATCACCTAGCTGGGGGATCTTGTGGCCTAGAGGTTAAGGTGTTGGCCTCTCATTCAAAGGTCCCGGGTTCGAATCCGGGTAGCGACCGAAAAATTTTCTTCTCTAAATTTGTCTCCTTTCACCTCCTTTCCTGCTCTCTAGCAATGTTCTTGTTGTCTGCTTTCATTTCCACTTTCTGCCCCCACCCCCTCACCTCCTTTGCCCCCTCCTCTGGGCTCCTGACTCTTTCTGCAGCCTTTCTACTGCTACTCCTTGGCTCCTCCTTACTGCTGTCTTTCTGCCACACACCTTTTCTTCTGGTAGGAAAGATCTACACCTAGCCTTCTCGGACAAGGGCGAAAAATCTCGGAGGGCCTGTATGCAAGTTGCGCACGTTAAAGATTCCTTGGTGGTTTAAAATCGGTAAGAGTAGGATTCGGCCGCCACCTTGGCAAAATTCAAAAATTTCCTACCAACTGAACATATTAGGTGTATCCCTCGCGCTCATATGACTTTATGCAGTTGCGAACGCCGTAAAAACACTTTCCAGAACAAACATTCACCTAGCTCTCACTTTTTGGGGATAGCTACTCCTGAGTTTTGTGTTTTTAAAAAGGCTTGTCAAAACTGCACCCTGATCAGTCTAATTAAGCTATGTTCTGTTTTCTTCTGTCATTCCGATCATCATTTCACTTAATACTGTCACTGCCAAGCAAAATTCTGGACCTGCTTGAACACAGTGTTCTTCTCCCAACTCAAGTTCCTATTTGAATCTCAAAATTGTTGGTTCGTGGGTGGTTTGCCGGTGCTCTGGTATGGTTTGCTTCTTTTTTCCTATCAAACATCTATCGTCCTTATCTCCCCTCCTTTTTTATGTTTGTTACTCTCTTGTAACACCTCTAATCTTTTGGTGCTCATATGACCTTATGCAGTTGTGAGCACCGTAAAACCTCTACTAAAAGCTAAAAATGATTGTTTCTGGATGTCTGTGAGCAGATGGATGTAAATGGAGCAAGCGACCCAGAAGAGCTCAATTGCATGGTTTGTTCAGCTTCTAGAACTAGGACTGTGGATGGTTGGCGGATGCTCTGGTGTAGTTTGTTCCTTCTTTCCTATCAAACATCTGTTGTCCTTACTCCCCTCCTTCTTTTTTGTGTATGTTACTCTCTTGTAACACATTATCTATTCTTCGGCACTTATATGACCTTATGTCTGTTGCAAGTGCCGTAAAACTCTTACTAAACCTAAAAGAACTAGGACTCGAAGGATGAAAACTATGACGTGACTTGTTTTTTCTTGTTTCTGTGTGCAGGACAAAAGAAATGTGTCGGAGGGCTCTCTGGTGAACAGCTCCGGTGCAGATGGTCACCAACACCCGTCTGTCACGATGGTCACGTCTGCAGCAGCCAAAGCCAGCGTGATGAACCCTATGATCTCTGAACTCAACCCATCGACGTTGTCTGTGGGGGTTACGATGTCCGGGGCGGCACCACCTCCTCCACTGGTGTCCATCTCCATACCTCCCTTATCCACGTCCTCCACAACTCTGCCCATGGTGTCTGTGCTTCCCCCCATCTCGGCCTCTGTGGCAGGTGAGGTGGCTTCTGGGAGTTCTGTGTCGCAGGACAAGGACGCCGCGAGCGGTACCGGCTCCAACAGCAACCCGCAGTACGCAGTCATCAAGGGTTACACGTACATGGGGGACAACTCTGACCAGCCCACCTTTGTGAACCTGGCGGTGGACAGAGACTCTGTGATGAACCTGTTCATGAGCCTGGGTCAGCACGCAGCAGTAGGCGGTCAGTCGCTGTCCTTGCCCGTGACGGCGGCCGCGGAGATGGCTGGTGGTGCTACGTCTGCAGCACACGCGAGTCTGGCGCTAGAGGGCACTGCCGCTGCTGCTCCGACCGAGGAAGGTGGTTCTGCTATCCCGGCCACAGTGCAGCTGTCTGAGCTGACCTCATTCCCTAACGTTTCGGCTTCTTTTGTTCTTGGCCCGAGTGAAATCGGCACAGTTAAGCTGTCGGACACAAACACTGATCAGGGAGTCGGGGGTACTGGGAAGGACAAAGTTGATCAAGGCTCTGATCGGACAGAGAGTGCGGGTCAGGTGTCGGTTGTTCAGTTGAGGACAGTGCAAGACTCGTCATCATCAGATGGTAACGAAAGGGAACAATGTGGGGAGGGGGAAGAACTTTCTTCCAGTGGATTTGAAGCCGAAGGAGAAAACAATTCTAGTGACAGAGAAGATGAGTTCGGGGAGCCTAAAAGTCTTTCATCCTCATCGACGTCAACTGTTGTGTCAGTAAATGTCAGCCTGACTAATGCAGATGTCAGCAAATCAAGACGGATTTCAGAAAAACGTTCAGGGAATTCGCCATCTTCAGATCAATCTGGAAAGAGTCGCAGTGCGCCTCATAATGTTCAACAACAGAATCAGGAAGAACAAAGAAAAAATTCAAATGTTGTCACTGGGAAAATGGATCTGGTGTCGCCAAAGAATGTGAAAGAGACAATCAAGGTTGAAGTAGCGGCAGAGGACAGCTCAAAGTTGGTGCAAAAAAGGTGAAAAATACTTTTCCTGTTAGATAAAGGAAACATTAGTGGGTAGTTGGCGGGTGCTCTGGTGTGGTCTGCTTCTTCTTTCCCATCAAACATCTATCGTCTTTATCTCCCCTCCTTCTTTTTTATGTTTGTTACTCTCTTGTAACACCTCTAATCTTCTGGCGCTCATATGACCTTTTATGCAGTTGTGAGCGCCGTAAAACCTCTACTAAAACTAAAAAACTGAAAGGAAACATTAAGTTTTTTACCGTGAAACCAGGGAAATGTGAGGTTTTCCTGGAAAGCTAGGTTCAGGTCCCTTTTTGATACACTGGTCTATTTTTTTGCTCGTGTTATAAGATAAACATCAAAGTAGTTTTGGGGACTTTTATGTTGGCACCAAATGAATATTGCTTTTGTTCATCTCTGACATTGTTTGACTCGGAGCTTTGAAGATGGAGGCTTTTTTTTGTGGCCCATTCATGTCTCTCTTTCATCACGCTTTTTTCAAATTGTATCACTCTTACTGTGCAAGGAGTGCTCTCTTCATGAGCAATAATGATACCTTGGGCTGAGATGGTTTGTGTTTTGGAATTTTTCATTTCGTATATATATGGAATTTACTGAAATAGGATTACCCCCCTGGGCGGTGCCACTGACTGAAGTGTCTTAAGGCCATTCCCAAAGGGGGACGTTTCTCGTTCATGCACAGTAGAATTGTAAATGGGCTGATTCATCAATGTCACGCTCCTGACTATGCCTGATCTACAACAGGGAACTGCTGCTTGGCCCTCATATGACCTTATGCAGTTGCGAGCGCAGTAAAATCTCTACTAAAACTAAACTGAATGTTTCCATTTTTTTTCTTTTGTGCAAACAGGCAAGGAAGAAAGAGATCTGCGGCTGATCCCTCTCTGGTCATGTCTGGCAAGAGAGTGAGGAAAGCCCTTGTCAAGGTCAGCTTATGAGACGGTTGGGAAGAGCCTGGATACTTCTGCTTGTTGCTGAGAGACTGTTGGGAAGAGCCTGGATACCTGTGCTTGTTGCTGGGAGACTGTTGGGAAGAGCCTGGATACCTGTGCTTGTTGCTGAGAGACGGTTGGGAAGAGCCTGGATACCTGTGCTTGTTGCTGAGAGACGGTTGGGAAGAGCCTGGATACCTGTGCTTGTTGCTGAGAGACGGTTGGGAAGAACCTGGATACTTCTGCTTGATGCTGCTGATGAAACAGGACTGCAAGATACTGTGCTGCCACTGAGCCACATCACGCTGACAGTCTTCATCATCGTCTCAGCTTGGAGTAAACTTTTGATCCTGTACCAAGCAGTTTAATTGCTATGTCCTTTGCTTGTTTGCAGCGCCAAAGTTCCTAAGTAAGAAGAAATGTTCTTCAGTCTTTATTCAGTGATGAGATGCGTTCAATCAAGCGCCGTGCTTGCATTCTGTGTATGCCAGAGCACTATGGGTTTCATGGTACCATATTGCAGTGCCAAGGCAGAGTGACGTATCTGCACTTTTTATGATTTTGAGTTAGTCACGCTGCCATTAGAAATATGGGCATGACCCTTCAGTTACGTCTGTTTGCCATAGTGAAATATCCTTTTTGTAGTACAAATACGTCTTCCTGCCTTTGACACAAGATGCAGAATGGGTGTAGGTGTCCATTTAAACGAAGATACAAAAATCAATAATTTTTGCAGATACGTCGGTCTGCCTTGGCACGGCAGCATAGTGAAGTCCTGCGTTCAAAGTGGTCGAGTCATCGTAGAAAGTTGAAAAGTTTTTTTCAGCCCCCGGAAAAGTGTTTGGTATTGGTTTAGGTGTTTTCAAGATTTTTTACCTTCTCACAAGACTGCTGAGTGACTTGTGGCACTTGCAATGTAGGTTGCTAGTCTAAAGGCTCTCTGATTGCTTTGGAAGGCTTTGATGTTGTCGAGCATGAACATGACATCCAAGAAGCCAAGTGCATATGGGGGAAATGCTGCATATACCTTGTTGCAACACACACGCAGAGTATCTTATTGCTCTGTCCCCGCGGTTTTATACCAAAAAAATTCCTGAAATTGTGCAAAATGTGAAATTATGCGATTCTGATAATTTTAACAAGGAATGATAAAGAAACATAATCACAAATTGTGTAAAAATTGATAAACATTTTGCTAAATCATGTGGGGTTCATAAAACCCCGGGGACAGATAGCTGGAATCTCCTCGCCAAGGTGTCTCCTGTGCTTGCACATCATATTCTGGCTTTTCTGAGGCTACAATAGTAAGGTGTATATTTTCATCTTTTCATTTTTGTTGTTTTGGAGGGGGTCCTATAGTATATGTGAGGTGTGCTGACAAAATGAGTTACTTCTCGCAATTCACAAATGGAGATATTGGCCGAAAATCGACACTAGTGTCAAATTTGTAGATTTTCTAGTATAATTAGCCTTTTATTATTTCTTACTTATAAATTTTAGAAACTTCACCTATAAAGCGTGATGTATCTATTTCCTTAGGTCTCGAATCCGAGAAGTTATTCATTTTGTCAGCACCCTTCACATATGTCCATATTTATTGTTATAGATGAACGCTTTGACACGGGTGCTGGCAGCGAAGGAGATCTTGTTTTGTTCTGATCACTTTGATACATCCACATCCTGTCTAGACCGCACACATCACTCGAACAAAGGTCTCAACTCATGATTGGTATGCAGTATATGTTTTTTATTTATATATATATATTTATTTAATAAAAAATTTGGGATGGGTAAAAGATTTCCCAAGTGGTTGACTGGTGTCGCTGGTAAATTCTGCTCAGTCTCTTTCCCTCTTATGTCTGTCTGTCTGTCTGTCTTCCATGCACTAAATGATGGCTGATATGTCGATGTTTGCGAGTTTTGTTGTTTTGAAGGTGATCAAACAGCTTCAGGGAAAATTGAAAAGGTCACTTGTTTATAAATCTCACTCTTCACTCCAACATTGCCTGTGCTGAGATAGAGGAAATTAGTGGGTGGTTGGCGGGTGCTCTAATGTGGTTTGCCTCTTTTTTCCTTAAAAAAATCTATCGTCTCTATCTCCCCTGCTTCTTTTTTGTGTTTGTTACTCTCTTGTAACACCTCTAATCTTCGGCACTTATATGACCTTGTTGTGTTGCAAGTGCCGTAAAACTCTTCCTAAAACTTAACTAAGAGGAAATTACTCTCCGAGGATTGAACAAACTGGCGAGAATTGACGAGTGGCGGCTTTATGGATAGTGTTACTGCTGCAGGAACAGAGACTGCAGTGGATTAATCATCATCATAATAATAATAATTAATTAATTAAAAATGACACTTTTTATTTGTCCGGCAAACATACATTTACATACATACATACATAATTATGAATATGTACGTATATAAATACATGCAGAAATACACACATGAATACACAAATACAAAATAGTTTACAAACATGCCACTGTCGGTCGCCACTGTGCAGCGGTCGCCCTGTATTTTGAGCTAGGGTTGTCATGGCTTGCTCAAGGACACACCCCAGTGACCACCCATCTGATCCCCGTGTCACCGACACTTGCTTGACATTGCTTGAGTCTAAACTCATTACTCACTTACCCACTGGAGCCCCCATGATAATAATATCATTTATATAGCGCATTTCCCAAAAAAGTAGCTCAATGCGCTTTACTTTGGAATACCCATTTTCAAAACCTTTCGTACTACTTCCTTTCTTCTCTTGCAATATATATTTATGCGCACACACACACACACACACACACACACACACACAAACACAAACACACACACACATACATACACACACACACAAGCACACACACACATACACACACACACACACACAGACTATTTTCATTCAGACGTAGGCACAGAACAACTATAATAAAAATACGCTAAAAGCTTATGAAGGATAGGTCTGTAGGAAGAGAAAATACTTAAGATGTCTTTTGCAGCTGTCATGTGTTCTTGTTTGTCTTAGTTCCTTGGGTAATCTGTGTGAATGTGAGAGAAGGGTGCAGTTAATTGGATTGTTCTGTTTGTGATGTTAGTTGGATTGCTCTGTATGTTGTAATATATGTTAGTTGGATTGTTGTGTATGTTATGTAAGTGTCCACGCTTGGTGTATGGATTTGTTGATCAGTGAATGACTCCTGCACTAAACAGTTCATCATAATTTAAAGTTCAGCGTGCAATACTGTGTTGTTGAAGAAACTGGAATGTTTCATGTCGTGAGTGGACAGTCATGTGTAAGCCAAACCTGAGTGGAAGTGTAGCTGCTGTGAATGAAACAGACAGAAAGAGATAGATGAAGGCGGACATGAAATCATATTTTATAGGAAGTAACAGATTTGTGTCCATTCATTATATTGAACCCGAAAAGATGATACGTGAGTGGGTGGTTGGCAGGTGCTCTGGTGTGGTTTGCTTCTTTTTTCCAATCAAACATCTATCGTTTTTATCTCCCCTACTTCATTTTTGTGTTAGTTACTCTCTTGTAACACCTCTAATCTTCGGCACTTATATATGGCCTTATTGTGTTGCAAGTGCCATAAAACGCTCACTAAAACTAAGTCTACTTTATCTAATGGGCAGTTTATCAGGTTAAAAAAAAAGAGAGAAAACTCATATGAGCTATCTGTAGCAGTAGCGTCGTACTTATAATAGATACTCAAAGAACATATTTTTATGACCTGTTTGTTCAGTAGGGTACTTAACCCTATCCGTACTCCCTGTGATCATTTTGTACCCCCGAGGTAGTATTCTTCACATTTTAGAATACTTCTAGTCTGGAGATCTCTTTGAAGCTTTCAGTATTTCTCAAAAAATCATTTTGACAGACTGCTATGCTCAGCGTACGGATCGGATTAACGAGTAAATTTCCTCTTTGGAAAGTGGTGGCACAGAGATCCCCACGTCGTATGGATATGATAGTAAAACATGATGTAAGGATAGGGTTGAGAATATGAATTGTGTTATTGATACAAATGTTATGCTTTTGATGTAGAAACTGTCATTTGATATTACTCTGAAATGTTGGTTCGCATGAACCGTACAGCACAGGATGCTCATTGTCTTTTTACAGTCTGTTCTGTGGTGGATTTTATTTTGGACATCCTCTCTCTCCCCCCCCCCCCCCCCACTCCCACTCCCACTCTACTTTTTTTTTTAAAGCTCAGGGCTGTGTTTGTTTTTTGCTTAAAATTAAAAGAAATAGAAATTGGTTGGAATTAAATTCCAAGTTTCTTTTATTTACATCCGTTGTGAAATGTTTCTCTGTTGGTATCGTAATAAACAGTAGACTTTTCTTTTCTTAGAATGTTGATGTAGTTTGTTCTTCTTGTTTTATATATAGGCACGGATCATTGGTTGCTGGGTTGTCATAAATAATGTTCTGTTTAAAAGAACTTATGATAGTCTTGCCCCTGTTGGTTAATACATTGTCCTGAATTGAATTAGGGCTATTGATTGAGTTCAGCGGACAGGGTCATAAATAAGTAATCTTTACGAAACTTGCATTTTCAGCATCAAGTTTGTGCAATGTCTTGTTGTTTGAAATCAAATTAAATCTGATTTATGCTTCAATTTGATTCTCTGTCCTTTGTTTTGTTTTTTACTTTTCGCAGGGATTGTTCATTTTTGTTGTACGTTGTGTACGGGGAGGAGTGTTTGGTTCTAGAACGTATTATGTGCTTTGTATTTTTAGATATATAGGAGAGTCTTGTATTATTTAATTAATTGTTCTTTTGTTCTTTATTTAGTTGTTTTTTAGTAAACTGTTCTTTGGTTTTTGGGCACCACTGATACGTCTCATGTCTTTTTTTTCTTTCTTTCTTCTTGTTTTTCCTACTTTTTCCTTTCACTAAAAAAAATAATGGTCGCGGGTGATTGGTGGGTTCTCTGATGTGGTTTGCTCCTTCTTTCCTATCAAACATTTATCATCTTTATCTCCCTTCTTTCTATTTTGTGTTTGTTACTTTCTTGTAACACCTCTAATCTTTTGCACTTATATGACCTTATTGTGTTGCAAATGCCGTAAAGCTCGTATTACTTAATTGTTCTTTTGTTCATTTGGTTTTTGGGCACCACTGGTACATCTCATGTCTTTTTTTCTTCTTTCTTTCTTTTTGTTTTTCTTACTTTTTCCTTTCACTAAAAAGGATAACTGGTCTGCTATTAATATATTGCTTCTGCCAGAATCCCGAAAACAATTCTATTCTGAACTGTATTCAGGGAAGTTTAAAGTTGGTGCACCAAAAAGTTGATATAAAGACACACTGGAAATGTCGCTGAAGGATTTCTACATTAACCCTCTGACGTAAGAGAGCCCTTGCCCTTAACAGACCTAAATGGAGAGCATCAATTGCAGAGGGCAGCAAATTAATTATATGAGGCTTTGCGAATAAGAAATGCTGAAGCCAAGAGAAAAACCTATATGTTGCGTACATCCACGAATGGAAGTGAAGCTTTTAAATGGTCAATATATGGCAACAGACTCTCTCTGCCAGAAGTTGTCTCACTGACTACACATGCCGCAATGGTGGTACACAATGGATAGACTAAGGGAAGCTGGTGTCTCTAGAGGGTCGGGGAGAGACAGCAACCTGTGTGGAAAAGAAAAGAATATCCAACCAGCTGATAACTGGCACGATCAGCAGGCAGACCCTTCCATGAATCCTAATAAAGAGGAGGGAGGAGCAGCTATGGCAGTGTGCCGCCTGCAATGATGCCTATTCTCCAACCAAGTAAGTAGCAAGTAAGTACCTGCTGCAGAAGCCACACATCATTTTGACCCTTATATCTCATCCTTTTCTCCTTAAAAAATGCAGTCGAACCTGCTCCAACAGCCACCTGTATAACACAACAACCCATGCAGACGCCCACCCCTTTGTATGTTTTCTACATTATAAGGACACAGTGGGTGGGTGGCGGGTGCTCTGGTGTGGTTTGCTTTTTCTTTCCTATCAAACATATATCGTCCTTGTCTCCCCTCCTTCTTTTTTGTGTTTGTTATTCACTTATAAAAAGTTATATATTACATCTCTAATCTTCGGCACTTATATGACCTTATTGTGTTAAAACTCATGCTAAAACTTAAATAATGACACAGTAAGACGACCACCTGACAAAAAACCCAATCTACTTTTCTCTTCAACTATGCGTGGTCTTTTAAGAAAATTTCGACTGTCCTCTCCTCTACAGATACATTGGCCGTCTTCAGATACTGATGAATGAACCACAGTATTTTTAACCCTATCCGTATGCCGTGGGGTCATTTTGTACCCCCGGGGTTGTATTCTTCATATTTTA